CATGTAACAGTAGGGGTCTACCAAATTGTCGTCCAAGATCAGTTTCTGGATCGGAGCCGCCTCTTGTGATGCGTTAAGTGATGCCGATCTGGAGATCCGATCGATGGCCGGGTCTAGTGTTGCATTCCAGTCTCCAACAAGAAGGCAAGCTGACAGCGGGGGGATTAGGTCACCTAACGAGTGGATGAAGGCAGATCTGTTGGTGGGGTCGTTAGGGGCATATATGTTAATTAGCCTAAATTTTTCTTCCTTCCATTTCAGGTCCATAAGACACCACCTTCCATTCTCATTATCTGCTTCTACGTTGGTGACTGCCCCTGCCGAGTAAAGTTTGGACATCTTAGGAATTAGGATTGTTGTTCCTTTCCTGCTCGTTGTAGTGTCTGATGTAAGACTGCATCTTTGATCCCACCCATTTTCCTCATAAATATCTGTTGCAGTTTTTTGTGGTCTTTAGAAGTCGTAAGATGGGTTTCTTGGAGCATTATCATGTCGGCTATCTTGTTGTTCTGCGATTTAAGGCCCTTGATAATATCATTTAACCTCCCTTCCTTTGTGAGTGTATTCCCAGACCATTGACGTTCCAAATCCTTATGGTAATACCTCGAGTCCTCCAATCGATCTTGGGACCTTGTTGGTTAGCATGATTCCTAAAATTTTCCATCTTGTGGACGTAGTAGGTACTCTGGGATGATCAGCGCTGTCTATTTATGTGGGAGGGGGGGGGGGGGGGGGGGTGGACGTGTCGGTTGAAGCCTCGGGGGGGTATGTTTTGTCTCCAGTCGACAAGTCGTCCATTTTGTATTCGCCCACACTTTCACTGTTGTCAGCCTGAAGGGAAGCCATCTGGTCATGGTCTGTGTCATCATCACCAAGCCAGTCTTCCATATCCTCCTCCAGGTAGTCCTTGTAGAACCCATCTGAGCTTATTACGTAACCCTTGGTGCCCAAATCTGCATCTCCATTTAGCGTGCCTGCTCGTAGTACTTTTGTGAGTGAGGTGGATGATAGCTCAGCCGCCGACAGCCGGGATTCCTAGGGTTGAGAGTACGCTGTATGGAATAGCGGTCACTGTGCTCCATGGTCGCCACATCATTCCTCCTCTGAGCCTCGTTTTTCTGGCATTTTTGCAATCAATGTGGTAAACAAGCCGGGTTTGCTCTCTGCTGAAGTGGTTGGAGTTCCCTGTTGGTCCTTCTGCTGTGAACCTGTCCCCTATTCGTGAACATCATCCTCCATCGCTTCTATCTCATACACCCCCAACTGGACGGCGTTGGTAATTTTTTCCCGAATTGTTGAGACAATGTTTTGGCCTTCTTCAAAGTACGAGATTGCAAAGGATACATATGTTCCAACTTGCCATGCATTTATCTCTCCCTTATACCGTGCTGCTAGCAGTGGGCGTATTCCCATAATTGTCAGCCTAGCTGAATGCCAGACATGGGGTGCTTTGCCTTCAACAATGTGTCGGACGGATGTAAATTCTGGCTCATAGACCGCATTGAGTTTTTTAAGCTTTTCCGTTTGGGCTTCAACTACCGCCAGTTCTCTCTCAAGGTCAGAACGTTCCGATTTTCTCCCTGTTGTGTTTAATTGTCAGTCTGGTTTCGGTTCGGGTCCAGTTTTTTCCGAGTCTTGATTGTTTTCCATTTCCTTGAGCGCAGATACTTGAGCGGTTCTTCTGCGTCCTTGCTTGCTTCGTCTTTGTTCAGAGGATCGAGTTCTCTTGTTCTGTTTTTCTCTGCATATCTGAAGGTTGTGTATTCGGAGAACTCTTCTTTTTTCTTGAGTATGTCATATGTATTTGTTGATGCACCGATTCCAGCAAATGCTCCTTGCTTTTGTGTCCTCTCTACGTGTCTTAGGCAAGCTGTGTGAATGTTAAACAGATGCTTCCCCTCCCTCTTGGCCTTCTCAATGTACTCCCGCAGCCATTGAAGAGACATGTCGGGGGGGGGGTGTCTGCTCGCTGTTAGGGGCCAATCCGCATGAGCTTTTGCTGTCGTCACTGTCTTGGTCCATAATTGCTTCCGAGTCTTTTGATGGTTCGTCAGCTGCTGTGTCCTCGGCTGGAGCCAAATTAGTACCAGGGTCATTAGCCTTTCTTCGTTTCAGATCTGATCGCCCTTCCATCACGTCAGGTTTGTTCTCTAGTGACCGTTTGTTTTCAGTTTGCATCTTTATCAAATTTTGCTCGTTCTCCTGCTTTCTGAGATTGATTATCTCTTGGATTTTTATGTGGATTTCTTCTAGTTCCTTGCCATATTCCAGCTCAACTTGCTCCCTTACTGACTCCAGATCCCAAAGCAGGTCTTCCCTTGCCTTTTCCTCCCTGATGACCCGAGAGTCGTTCAAGGGGATTGCATTGATCTTCGTGGGGTTCCCTGCTTCTTTTCCTGTGGCTTTCTTCTGCCATCTACTATCCGCTGGAGGGAAAATGTCCGGCTTTTTTGTTGAGGGTCCCATGTCTGAGTAATGCCAGACCCAGTCCGATTTGTCCAGGTTGTCATTGAAGACCCATCCATCATAGGATGGGTCCACGATGAACCATGTACCCGGCGCATCCTCTACTTCCACCAGAATGTTGGGGTGGAGTTTTCGTTCTTTTTGCTGTTTCGGGAATTTTGGACAATTGGGGTCGGTGCCGAGGTGGCCTCTCTCCCTGCATCTGAAGCATATCGGTGACGATTTTGTCGAGACGTCAATGAGCAGATCCCTGTCTTGAATAGCCAGCTTCCATTGTGGAGGAAAGACTGGT